TACAAGTTTCTTATCAGGTCGTCTATGCACTCACAGGAAAAGAGTATGAGAACACTTACCGGCATAAGTTCTCTTTGTTTCTTCGATAGGAGAAAGTTCTGCAAAAGTAAAATTTGCTTTTATTATAAGTCAGTTCAAACTTGTTTTGCTAAACGATTAGTAGTTGCCTTCGATTTTAATTCGGCTATTCACAATATTTATTGGCCAATTGATTGTCACCAAGGGTTTAAAATATTGATATTCGCAGACTAATATATCGGTCGAAATGGCAAGAAATGTTCTTATACAGCGAAGCCTAAAATAGTATGTATATCTGCTATTTACGTATAATTAACGGGATAATTGTCTGCAAAACATACCCAAATACCTACCGAAGAAACGTTGCAGAGGAGCGTTTTTCAGATCCTTGGTATCTGTAATGAATGATCCTTTTAAATAGTAGAACGATTCTTCTTTATTACGTTAACAATATTACTCCGGAGGCCACATTGATTATCTAGTCTTGGACGCGTTTGCACCAAGGTAGATGGTAATAAGCTTGCTTATGGATCGAATTCTAACTTTGATTTCCCTCTGCCGAGGAGAATTACAAAACCACCAAAAAAGTGCAGCTGTTTCTATTTATATTAATTTGGGGGCGTCAAAAAAGTAAAGATATGCTACGTCTAAGAGAGAAAAGCTAAACAATTATTAAATCAGGCAAAAAGAGAGAAAAGAAGATTGTCTTATAACATGTGCACGGTTGTTGAGGTAATTCATTCAAAGCCATGATCGAATTTGGGCTTGGTATTTTAGCATACAGCTTGTGGGGTTATTTTAGTCGACGGAACGGATCTGATTCGAATAAAGACTTTAAGTGAGGAGAATTAAAGTTTTATTACAGCCTATTCAACAGGAACCGGCCACATTTTAGCAAAATCTTAGGTTGCCTCATATCGAACAAATTTCCTACGCTAGTTAATACGACGAAATCAAACCTTTTTTTATATGTTGCGTGGCCGGGGAATCTACAGACCCTATTAAGTTGAGTAATGCGGATGTGATGCAATTAAAGTCTACACTACTTAACTCGTTCTGGCACCTGAAGCACGATGCTCTTCTTGACAATCATGTCAGCACCGGTTTCAGTACTGGACGTCTGAATTATTTTTTCTGAGGGACCATTGAATGAACTATAGTTGATTTTATGGTCCGTTGATAGGACACTAAGGAAGGAGAGGATGGATGCCCTCGCAGATACCCGAGAAAAATACAATTTCCGAGGTCGTTTACTTAAAGCAGCCACTGATATTCATACAAGCCTGTAGGGCATCGTTAAGTACTAACAAACAAAACGCTGCGGAGGAGCATATTTCAGAACCTTATTAACTGTAATATAAAGTTTGTTACATTCATAAAACTGTAATATATTAGTACAGTAAAACACGTACAAGGGAGTTCATATTTATTAACTGATCAATGTAAAACTTGCACATTGTTGCATCTATCTAAGCTGGCTTAGGGAAAAAATTCTAAACTTAATTTACTGACGTCAGATAATGAAGAAGCTGCTTCCGGTAGCAGTAAGTTTGAGGTTTGTATTAATTTTACCCGTCAAAATATAGTCCCACTTTTGTGACCATTCTTTAAAAGTTGGCAGCATTGTACGGGACAACACGTGACACAATGCATTAGGATGTCGCTTGGACGTCTACACAGCAATTTAAATGTATTTTCAATTTTGAAATAAAACAATGCGACGTTTTTAAACTTACTTCGCTTTGTGGACGATAGTCTTGCTAAAAACAAATAATGAGGTAATTTAAAAATATGCCTGAGTTACGAAAATTTCCGCGGAAAATTCAGAAGATGAATTCGTGACTATACGTTTGTTTTCCATAAAGTCTCGTCAGACCGTCACATTTATATGGTAATTTAGCAATTAAAAGCCTGACGAGAATTTATCGATAACAAACGTTAGTTCACGAATTCATCTTCTGAAATACGCTTAGGTTGCGCAGACTACTTACTATTATATAATATGCTCATTGCTTTGCATAAGCCCTACTGCACGTTTTCTAAGGTTTAAAATAGATTCGTCTACTCCAGATATGTTATGTAGGGCCTTTGATTAAATACTAAATTTTGTGAATTTCATAGTGTTGGCGTTCAAAAAAACTGCTTTATGATGCTTACAAAATTAATATAAATATGTGCTCACTCTTAGATCTTCAGTCTACTAGTTAACCTCCTTACATAGAATAAGACAGCTCAGCCATCGTTTATAACAATACTACAAAAAACATTACTTGTGGTTTTGACATTCCAACTGATAGTATTATGTCTCGTGTGGGCTCATACACGTTCATATAAATTTCAGACATGGGTACATCAACGCATACGGAAGTAGATTAATAACGCGTCTGAATTCGATCAGCTAAACTAGTTTTTAAGTGTTAGTTTTTACTCTTGGTGTTTAATTTTACAAAATTTACTATTTTAGACCTGAATATATGCATGCATTTAACTCAGACGTAAAGTTGCAAACTGGCATTATGCGGCTGCTCTTGGATTTTATTCTTTCTTTATCAAAGCGTGCGTCTGATGCCGATGTGACGAACTGATTTTGAGAATAAGCAATGTGTTTCATTTTAAAATGAGTCTATTTCGACCCAAAAAATGAATCCGACCTTTTTCGTCTATAAGGGGCCTTTTTTGTTCTGCTATTTATGTGAACTAGAGTTTTCTGATACAATGAGTTCTAACACACTTGAGGAAAGCGCATGCACTATTTATCATTATTGAAAAGTGCCAGTAGTATGTTTGAAAACACGCACCAAAATGATGTTCCAGTGGAAGATACTTCAGATCCTTGACATCTAAAATGAGACATAGCAGTTTGAGTAATGAGAACGTTAAATAAAGAGGATCAAACTTCTTAGAAATGTGAAGAATTCTGTTGATAAATAAACCTCGTGTGTTAAGCAAACCCGTGGCGTAAAAAATGGAAAGAATGCACTCAAAACTTACCAACATGTTGTTCCAATGGAAGATGGTTTGGCTTTATTAGACCTGAAAATAGAAGACTGCATTAGAATGCGTAAAGAATGCTATCATTAATCAATCTTCAGACTCTGAAGGAGAAAACGAACGAAAGTTTGACAGCAACTCAAATCAAATATCGACACAAATTGAAAGGAATATCTCTCTACACCGCTCTGTGCTTACCAACGAAACGTTGCAGAGGAGCGTATTTCAGATCCTTAGCATCTGTAATGAAAAATTTGGTACATTCATGAACCTGTTACATATTACTACATTAAGAAGTCAATGCATTAAGATCAATGTGACACTTGCACCTTGTTAAAGGAGTATATTTCTTGGGAGAATATGCCAGAAAAAATCAATTCGATATTTTTATAATTTTTGAACCGCACAAGTACTGCTCGCTGCACAGAATAATATGCATAAATTTAAATCCTTATAAAAACGAGCATCGCGGAACACGTGGAGGTTACAATGAGCAAGAGGAAACAATTAGCTATGACAGCAACTTACATAAACTGACGTGAAAACAAGCCCTGTTCACGATCATAAGTGGCCGATATCCCTTCTTTTAGCCGTATAATGATCAGAGCCAGATTGCAGCGATGTTAAAAAAATTAAAAACGGGAACGTTTGCAATTTTTTGATTTTTGTGTACCACTAGGGTTTAGTTGTAAACATACCTAATGCATCCGCGTTAATAAAAAAGCACAAAATGTGCACATAAATGTGTTTAACCATCTCGTTATTTTCGTTAAGCGAATTTAATGTGAAGAATCTTTTATGCTAAATAGCATATTTTGCGGCTAACCTGGGCGTTAAGGTAATAGGTGTCACTCTAAAATGTCACAACTTCAGTTTGCAACCAAATAACTATTGGCGTGATTGTGCCTGAAAGAATTAAATTTTTGACAAAGGTTTGCTTCGTTCACTTAAAAAACATTGTTTAACCTGGGTTGAATGTATAATAGGTTT